TAGGTATAAAGTTCTCTACTATAATATCTTATATAGGTAGAAGTTAGTATAGATTGTATAGTAATTAAATTATATATAGTAAGTACAAGCTTTAGGGAATCTTATGTAGAGCTGTAGCTACAGGAACATGTAGCTGCCTAGTTATACTCTTATACAGTAAGCTATTATAAAGTAGTTATACTAATTATAAAAAAAGTATTAAGTCTATAAGTAATTTATATAAAGATATTCTCTATTACATTAAAACTAGCAATAGTAGTAATAGTTTTATATAATGCTTTAGTAAAATAGTAAACATATGTTTTTTTTTATAAGTCTATATAGTGTAGTAGCTTTTATTATGTCCTTTTTAAAGCTAATGCTTTTATTCTATAGAGTAGTAATTAGTTTTTATAAAAATAGTTAGCTAAGATTTTTAAAGTGTATAAGCTTTTACTTTATAAAGTTATCTTAAAAGTTCTTAAGCATATATATGTTTATTACACTTAACATGTAGAGTTTTATAATTAAGTTAGCTATATATAAATTAAGCTTCTTTTTAAGTGTGTTATTTAATAGTTTAATTTTATTTACTTAATTTTTAATATTTATTTACTTTGCTAGGGTCTTTGCTAAGATGCCTATAAAAGGTATATATTAGTTATATATTAATACATTATGTTAGCTAGTTATAGATAGAGCTAGCATTGCTTGTTGCTTTATAGTAGTTAATTATGTGTTATTGCGCGCTGTCTTACTTCTTATTATACACTGCCTCTAAACAGCCTTATGTAAAAAGATAAAACAGACCTTCTAGTGTTAAATAAGCACTACTATTTATATAATACTTTTAAATAGTATTATATAGACAGGTTTCTTGCTTTTACTTAAGTAACTAAATAAAGATTTACAGCTACTTGCATGTAAATTAGACTTTGTCTTTACTCTTACTAATTTATAGTTAAAGTAGTAAGAAAAAGGATTCTTTTTATACATAAACTTTTAAATAAAAAGGTATAAGAAGAGCTTTCTTTTTTATAGTATTTAAACTACTAATTAGTGTTAAATAGACTCTCTGCTAGCTAGCACTTAGTGTTAGCAAATGTGTACAAGACAGAGAGGTTTGCACAGTGTAAACATCGCACAGGGGTGTTAGGTAACTAGTGTTAATTGCTTCTTATTTTTCCTCTGTACAGAGGAAAAGGGGGATATCTAGATGTTCGCGCACGGAGGTTCGCGCACGAGCATCATGTGACATAGATACGTGATCCTGCTCGTGCGTGATCGCTCGTATCCAGGCCGCGACGCTGCTGCTGCGTACGGACAGCAGCACTATTTTAGAAATAAGAAAACAGCTAATAGCACTTTATAGTATACTACTTAGCAAAGTTTACACTATTAAAACAAAAATACGCTATCTTTAATAAAGAATTAAAAGCTATAGTTAATATATGTAGAAACTAAGAAGTTAAACTTTAAAGTTTTATGTAGTAATGTTAGATATGCGCACCTACTGTCAAGACAAGAGGAACGCTTGACGAAAGCTGCTACATAGTACGAGCAATAAGCTCGAACAGCATGTTGCAGCAAATTGCAGCATTTTTCAGCATGTTGCAGCATTTTGCAGCATGTTGCAGCATTTTGCAGCAATTTGCAGCAAATTGCAGCATGTTGCAAGCTGGTCGCGCATAGGGCAAGTGCGCGAGGGACTCGGATCGGCAAAACAAAAAGCCGAGCAACACAAGTAGAGCAGAAAAAAGGATCGATAAATCAATACAATAAACCATCATCCCATACATCATATCCAAACCCATCATTCATCTTAGGAAGCCTAGAAACAGTGCTTTAATCTAACAAGTAATTTATAATTTTTACTAACTACATAAACTTTGTTACTTTCCTTACACATAAAAAACTTTTGCTAATGCATATATAATAGGCTATAGAGTTAGCCTAATTTAATTTTATTATTAAACATGTAGCAGGAAGCAGCAACTAGTAAGCAGACACTCTTAGCTAACGTTCTAACTACTTTGTAAAGAACAAAGAAAATTTTAAAAAATTTATAATATTTAAAAAAACTCTAGAAGGCCTAGTCTATAAAGGACTAAACTAAAAAAAACTACTATATTCTCTTATAATTATTAAACAAGGATAGAAGAACCTAATAAAAGAATATTATAAAGCTTCTATATTTAGACACCCTAGAATAGAATTACTATAGAAAAAGATTAAAGATATAATACTATAAAAAGTGCCTTAACTAAAGCATCTATGTACTAAAGTCTTATAAGAATGTAATATTTATAATAAGAATAATCTGTAACAGCATAAACCTTATAGACTACTTTAACTAAATACAGCGCTAAGTTAACTATAGACTATAATAACTATAGATTTTATTACTAGACTACTACTATTACAAGAATCTAGTATAGAAAGGCTCTGTAATATAATTACATAAGTTATTAATAAAACTATAAAGTTTATTTATCTATAGCCCTTAGAAAAAAGCATAACTGCTAAAGAATTTATATTTAAACTAGAAAAGAATGTCTTAGCTACTTATAGTTGCTTAGAGATTATTATCTCTAACTGTAACAAACTATTTACAAGCAAGTATTAGGCAGCAGCAGTTAGGCATTTAGGGATTAATTATAAGCTCTCTACAGCATACTACCTGTAAACAGACAGACAAACAGAACAGGAAAACGCAAAAGTAGAAAAATACCTGCGCAAATACGTGTTAAACAAACAGAATAATTAGGCAGAATAGCTACTAATAGCATAACTTGCTATAGAAAAATCAGCAAACTAGAAACAGCAACTAGCGCTAGAAATACACCTAAACAACTATATATACCTAGATACAAAGAATATTAAGACCTCTAGGCCATCTAGAAAGCTTACTAAAAAACGCATAAGACTCTATTAGGTTATATAGACACGCCTAGGCATTTATAAACTTAAACTACTAAAAGAGATGTAAATATATTTTTAGTTCTATGTCTCTAAGCTTAAACTTACGCCTAAGAGCATCCTACTAGTAACTACTAGTTAAAAGAAGGAAAAAAAAGAATATAAAGTTAAATAAATCTTAGACTACTAAGGAAATAAGTACTTAATTAAGTAAAAAAAATAGCTTACTAGTAAAAGTACTTAAAAGCTTATTAAAAGTCTATTAAATGCCTCTTTAATTCTTTATAAATACTTAGAGTCCCTTTTAAATAAAACTACTCTAGAGAAAGCTCCCTAGACTAGAAAACATTAACATTAGTTAAAACCACAGCAGCATCACCTAGCTGCAATGTAGGAGGTCCGCAACCCTTTAATATAGGCTGCAGAGGAGGAAGACCTGCAGCCTTTACCTTAAGCACTTTAAGCTTATTTAGCAAAGAGAGGTTTTTTTTCTAGATATTTTGCCTTTTAATCTACTAGTAAATTAAGCTGCTTTTATGCTTACTTTTAATAAGCATCTAAGAACTAAAGCTCTAACACCTAAAAAGCCTAATAAGTAGTATAGTAGGCCTGCTTATTTAAAAAACCCTTACACTTTTTTTACTTTTTCTAATAAACATTCTTTATTTTCTTTAGAAGCTTTTTATGTTCCTGCTTTAAATAATCCTAGGCTGTGTTTAAAATAAACATGTTATAATAACTCTCTTTTTTTAAGCACTTTATGTACTTTTCTAATAATAGAGTTATTACGCAGAAAGAACTGCTTAAACAATAAGGACTATAAGAGCGCATTTTTATATAGTACAGAGGATCTAGATAAGTAACAGTGTAAAGGCAGCAAGCAACAGCAGAAGAATAAGAATGCTAATAAGGCATAGTTAAAACAGATAAATATCTAAGAAGCTTATAAAAAAAGGCACTTACTAATTAAAAAGAAATTCTAACACTTAGAATAGTGTAAACATAATAGTAAGAACACTAACTAGAAAAAGACGCTGTGTGTTACAACTTATAATTAGACTATAAGTAACTAGTTAGCAGTGCCCTATAGTTTAAACAACTAAGGATAGAAAACCTTTAAACCTATTTTAGACAGATTATGTAACAGGACAGATAAAGAATAGCTTTAGCTTTTAGATAAATGCATAGAAAGATGCATTATCTAATAAAAAAAAAGACATATAATTGCATGCATAGGCATGCAGCAGATTGCGCACTAACAAGTCTTTGTATAAGCATGTAAAGACATGCAACTGTATGTAACCTTATGTATATAATCTTAATTATAACTATAGTTAGAAGGCTGTAATTACTGTTTAGTCTTTACACACATAATAAACTAAGAGGCATTAATACCTTTATAAAAAGGACATTACTGCCTTGTATATCTTGCACTATATATACTTCTTATCCTATTCTTCTAGATTAGTTTACTAGCTCCCTATATAGCTGCTAGGTTAAACTACAACCTGCCTTCTTTATTCCCGCCTTACCTATACTCTGCCGGACGGACTGTACACCCGATCTAGCTAAGTCCTTCCCCCTTCCGCTAAAAACAACATAGGCTGTAGTGCTGTCAGATATGCGCACCTACTGTCAAGACAGGAGGAACGTTTGACGAAAGCTGCTACATAGTACGAGCAATAAGCTCGAACAGTATGTTGCTGCAAATTGCTGCATTTTGCAGCATTTTGCAGCATGTTGCAAGCTGGTCGCGCATAGGGCTAGTGCGCGAGGGACTCGGATCGGCAGAACAAAAAGCCGAGCAACACGAGTAGAGCAGAAAAAGGATCGATAAATAAACACAATCAACACAATCAATCAATCATCCCATACATCATATCCAAACCCATCATTCATCTCAGGAAGCCCAGAAACAGTGCTTCAATCTGACAAGTGCTTCCGAAAATACCATTTTGTCGAAGCAAGGATTGTAACACCTATTTTCTAGCTATTTCTAAGGCAAAATTATGTATTATAAGCCTTATAGGTAGCAGTTTTTTTACATAAAGCTTATTAAAGTATTTAGAGAGTTCCTTTTCTTATATGTTGTTAAGGAGTTGTTAATTTTTGTGCTTCTCTGCATAGGTGCCCTGCACCCCGCAGTGGCGCTTTAATAGTGTAGAGCGACAACAACTAAATTTTTTTGCTGTCGCACTATAATTAGGTTTTTCTCCAAGCTTCAGCAATTCAAATGACGCTAGCGCGGCCTCAATTGGGTCCATATTAGTGGAGATAAGCTTAATTGAAAAGTTGATGGATTTTGGTTGTGTGTGCGTTACGAGGGGCCGTGCGTTAAGCGATGAAATACGGTAAGCGCCACGGACCCGTGGCTCTAGTGGGAGCCATACAATTCCTGCTTTTTGTAGAGAAGGCTATCACACCAGCAGGAACTGAACGAGAGGCTGTCTATTTCTCACCTGCAGACCGTCCTCAGCCGACGAAGGGTTTAGTCGAGATTTCCATCGTACTGACCGTTCAGCGACAATGTTTGCGTGAGATTGGAATGATGGAACCGTCTCTCTTGTCTTGTTCTTTCCTGTGGTCTTTCGGGCTAATGTTCCTTTCTTCCGAAGACCAATCCATACGTGTTTCCAAGTGGTGGATACATGCAATGATCCATTCGAACTCTAATATGTCGTGTGCGATCACCGTACGTGATTTTGGATTCGAGGCAGCGCACCAGTGAATTTCCATCCGCAACGATTGCTTGGCATCAATCATCTCATCATTCCAGTGATGAGAGGCAAGCCGAGATGTACCGAGCTGTTCAACCATTTGTGCGAGCGAAGCTCTCCAGCTGATCTTCCCGGCGTACCACCTGGAGCTGGGGAATGGCAAATCCGAGATTCTGAATTCTGAGATCCAGAATCAGGTTAAATGAAACGGAACTGGAACTGGATGTGTCACCGCATGATCGTGGTCAGATATATATATATATATATATATATAATCACTGGTCTCTTTCGTCCTATTGGTTCCTGCAAAGTAAATTTCTCACGTAAACAAGAAATCTGCCAAGCTAGCGCTTAGCCTTCGTGCGATGAGTCGGAAGCGTGTCCTCTCACGGAGAGACCACTTGCTACATAGACCAAAACCGGTCTGTGGATTTATATTTCTGTTCACCAGCCACCTACCCTCCGAATTGCTAGACCTCGGCCTCGCGTTGCAGGCAGCGCACGTGCACTCGCTTCCTTGGCCGGTGGCTACCCCACTTCCCAAACCACGACAACGCACATCCTAAGGCGACGACGGAAGGTCTTTCATCCCCCTTCTCATCCACGAAGTACGCGCAACAAGCTGCCCAGAGGACCTTTGCGGTTAAGTCGACAAGATACAGTCGAACGTGTCACTCAGAATTCCCGCCAGCATGGAGAACAAGCGCCTTAGGGAAGGAGAAAATGCTGAAGGAACAGGCGAAAGAGACGACGAAGAGAGGGGCAGGGGAGGGGAGACTGATGCAGAGGCTGAAAGGCAAGAGGACAGGATCAAGAAGTGGGAGAAGGCTCATGCCGCCCGGATGAGGGAGATTGTCCCGGGCCTCCTCCTTGGAAACGTCGAGGCTTCCCACCACCGAGAGATGCTTCGAGAGAATCGTATCAACGCTATAGTCTCACTCACTGATGCCCGGTGGGTATGGTGGAATAGCAGCACACGGGAGGCGGGTGTTCCCGAGCGTCGACACCTCTGGGTTCAGTGTGGAGATTCATCGACGCAGGACCTTCTTGTCCGTCTGAGTGAGATCTGCGACTTCATTGACCAGATGGCTGCACCGGCCCTACGATCATCGACCACCTTACCGACCCGACACGCCCCGGAATCGAGTGTCAAGCCGAATGACCCCCCGTCCGAGGCCGTCCTGGTCCACTGCGACTTGGGCATCTCACGTTCTCCGACCGTCATCGTTGCCTATCTCATGCGCAAGTACGGCGCAAGGCGAGAGGATGCCCTAGCATTTGTCCAGTCGAAACAGAGAGTCAAACCCAGTGCCAATCTCACCCGGCAACTGCAAGTTTGGGAACAAGTCGGATATCACGTGTGGGAGAACGATGAGAAGACCGTTCCGAAGGCCCCGTATCAGGCATTCCTGGATGACCGAGCCGCCCTTCTGAAGGAGAAGGGGTGCACGGGAGACGAGCCTCTAGCACTGAAAACCCTCTAGCCAATCCGATTAGATCATTTACCGAGCCCAGCGCAGCGTTAAACCGTCATGCCAGACGCCACACAAACTCTCTGGAGTGACGCTGCTTGAAACAAGGAGGCGGCACATACACACACCCTTTCGTCGGATCCATAGCCTCCTTGCGGCACGGTTAAGCGCTGTTCCTGAGGCCCTGCCGAGGAAGCATCTCAACCGCAGTCTCTTCTCGGATCCGGTGTCGGCCCGTCGCATGGGACACTTGGAAGAAGCAACGATACATTTTGCCGTTTTTTCATGAAATCATGACGATCAAAGCTTGATAGGTCCGCAAAGGAAGCTCCCTTAGGAGGATTGCGGCGTAGCTCGTCTTCGGCGCCAGCGGCCTCAGGTGTTAGGCGCTTAATGGAATCGCAGACACGGTGGCTCCGTGACTTTAAATCCAGCCGGCTCTCGCGAGATCGATCGAGAAACTCCAGCATCTCCCTCTCACATTTCCCAGCTCCGCTTTCAGCATAAGCTTGACCTGCTTTCTCCGCACAACCTGCCAACATGTCGGACATCCAACAGTGCCAAAATCTCATCGCCCAACTGGGCAATGAGTACAAAGAAGAGGACCGAACCACCTTCGTCACCTCGAATCCAGAAAAGATCCTTCAGACTTCGACCATGGCCCTTTGGGCACAATCGACTTCCGGTCAAAAGGCAGTCAACCTAGGATTGCCCTCCATCAAGACCTGGCTTAAGAACCTTGCCACAAGCGGTCCCGGTCCGGCAGAGGAGTACTATGGCATCAGATATAAGTTCGTTAAACGTAAGTCTCGCTGTACAGTGAAGGTTCATCACTGACCGTCTGGCCAGAGGAACCAAACAGTCGTACCACCACGCCGATGTCCACCTTGGAATGAGTCAGGTCACTCTGCAATGGTCGGTGGAACGTGCAGTATAAGCCCAGACACATATTAGCCTTAATTGCTTCACTTTGTTCTACCTGTACGTTAGGCCAACAAGTCATTCGCTTCTATACCATTTTCAACCCCAAATGATGGCAGCGATAGCAAGTGAAATGAAGTCAGCGGGACGGGTCTCGCTCCCAATGAGACGTGACTACATGACCGCGATCAGGCGGGCCTCTGATACTGAGGGTCGGCATCCGGTGAACCGTGATTTTGGTTCCGGAATGAGTCCTCCATAATCACTGGATGGATTGTTCCCGAACCACAATTTGACCACCCTTCCGGCACAAGACCGAAAGCAGGCCGGAGGTGCCGTTTCAAGACCCAGAATTAGAGAAGTTCCCAGATTTGATCTCTAAGCGCTGGCGCGCCGGCGCTATCGAATCGCTCCGTCTTACTGATATTGGCGACATGTCCGCTTGGCAGCGTTCTCAAAAGCTCTCAGAGTACGTCTCCAAGCTCAGCCACACTCTCAGGCTTGGGGCGGTGGGTTCGGCGGGCCGCGGGGGGCTCTTTGGAGAGATCGCTGATCAGGAAACAATCAGCTAGGCTTGCGCCGCTGCCCTCCCGGGGACGTGGGGACCAAGCTGCCCTTTCTGGGCGAGTTCGAGATGTGAAAGCCGCTTAAGATAGGGTGCACTGTGACTATCGACGGCTCGTACTGCCTGCTCGAGGTGCTACGGCTACTGGCAGAGTGGGTCGCCAGTGAGTGCTCTTACCAACTCAAAGTATGTGGGAGGCGCCAAAGAGACTCCGCTCTGGCCGGTCCCATGCTTCCTTTCGATGATGAAGGGCGCCTGCATGCAGCAGCAAGGTGATGCGTGCTACATGCATAATGTAGGAGCCACCAAGTTAACCAGTGCAGCGTCATCCTGTTGTGTCCGCATGAATTCCAACCCACAGGCCTTCCAATCCCATCTCTTTCAACACGATTGCGCCTCATTAGTGACTGCCTGCCACTCCTGCTTAGACGGACCGGACAGGGCTCTTGTCGGGACTGAGGCGCTTGCCGCATGAATTATATCTTCTCTTTGCACTAGTGCAGCATTGCTATCCTAAGGGGCTTAGTTTATAGTAGGCTCTAGTTCTGCCTTTACAGCATTTTTATAAAGTTGTTCTTTTTTTCTCTTCTATAAAGAATTCTTTTATATAGAGGTTAGTTTATCTAGGTTTTTTATTATAAGAAGGTTATCTTTTTCTTTTTCTTTATAGTACAGTTTAACCTGTGTATATTAGAGCTTTAGTAGGCTATTTTATTTTAATAATAACATCTTTTTCTTTAATACTTTTAATCTTATATAGTCTAGTCTAGCCTTTCTTCTTTTTCTATGCTATAATCTCTAAGCTAAGAAGAAAGTTAAAAACTTTATATATTATAAAGCTATTATTGTCAGATTGAAGCACTGTTTCTGGGCTTCCTGAGATGAATGATGGGTTTTGGATATGATGTATGGGATGATGATTGATTGTATTGATTGATCGATGTTTCTTTCTCTTTTTGTCTGCTCTGCTCGTGTTGCTCGGCTTTGTTTTTCCGGTCCGAGTCCCTCGCGCACTAGCCCTATGCGCGACCAGCTGCAACATGCTTGTAACGGCACAGGCAAGACAATGGGTCCGAATGCGGTGGGAATCCACTCAGAGGCATATGGGAGTGCGTGGGGACTCTGAACCTGGGAATGCCATTGACACCTATAGGCCTTGTACGAAAGGATATCAGAAAACTACCGAGCTAGCTACGGGGGCGAGGTGCGACTAAATACATGAAGGAATAGGGGTAACAGCAGAGGTCAGGGCCAGGTTGGGGTTAGGGCTGATACAGGGGCCTTCTAGGCTATCTAAGATAGAACAATTCATGAGGATTATTACACTACCCCCCCCTCTGTAGACTAATAGTCTCTATTAGTAGTTATAGTTTAAAGTATTGCTGTTATGTCCTCTGCATTCTTAAACTAAAACTAGTCTAATTTAGCTAGGTGTCCTTACCAAGTATTCCTTCGCACTGCCAGCAGTGTCCTCTAAACTAAACGCCATTCGTGCGCGCCTGCTCTAATAGTGATCTGTAGATGTCCAGCCTGTTACTAATTAAGACTTGCTATTTGTTCCTAGCTATCTGTACAGTTATTAATCTTAGGCGTGCGTTTAGTAAGGTGACATTTAGGTATTATTAGAGGTGCATAAAAGGTCCTCTGCTATTAGGGTAGCAGGGATAATTTAAGGCATTATTAGGGGTGATTTAGTAGTTAGGGGTTAGTAGTTGCCTAGCAGTGTTTTAGTGGATTAGCTGCTTAAGCTGTGCTTGTAATTAAGCATAGATATACTACTAAAGGTTAACTTTAAATTAGGTAGGTCTAGCTTTAGGTCCTGCAGACGCAGGTTTAGCTGTTAACAGAGTGGTAGTTAGTAGTTAGAGGTTAAAAGTTAGGCATTAGCAGTTATCTCTAATTCTAATAAGTTATTAGTAGTCTTTAAGTTTCTACTTTAGCGCATTCTTTACAACTTTTCTAAAGGCAATCTTAATTACAGGGGATAGAAAGTTCTAAACCTAAAGGCTTTAGTTAACTAGAGGTTAATAAGATCTAGTCTATAATAACTAAATAATTTAATGTAACAGTGTAGAAGAACTATAACCTAAACTAAATTAGACGCTTCTTAGAGTTAGACATAGTTAAACAAATAATTAATGCAATATTATTAATAAGGCTGTTACTAGTAAAAGGAAGTTTTCTAATATAATGTAACAGCACAGGCAAGACAATAGGTCTAAATGCAGTGGGAGTCCACTTAGAGGCATATAGAAGTGCGTGGGGACTCTAAACCTAGGAATACTATTAACACCTATAGGCCTTGTACAAAAGGATATTAGAAAACTACTAAGCTAGCTACAGGGGCGAGGTGCAACTAAATACATGAGGGAATAGGGGTAACAGCAGGGGTCAGGGCCAGGTCGGGGTCGGGGCCGATACAGGGGCCTTCCGAGCCATCCGAGATGGAACGATTCATGAGGATTGTTACAATATAGTTACCTAGCTTAGTCTTTAGAATGTTAAACACTTATTAAAGAGGTATATGCGCGCGCTTAACCTTTCTAACTACCTAATATGCTTTTATAGACATCTGCCTACATATAGCTTTTATAATTTTTACATAAGCTTAAAAATCTTTTAAAGTAAAGTTTATACTAAAGTTATACATAATGTAGTCTAGAGGTCTCTAATAGGTGTTAATCTAGCATTTGCATAGTGCATCCTAGGTATCTTATGCAGACATAGATTTTAGAAATGTAGTAGCCTAACATAATATATTTATGTTAACGTACTTCATAGGCGAGTTGCTTACACACCTAAGTTACTTACTTATACTAAGACCCTACTACACTACTTTTCTTACACTAATGCATTTCTAATAACACTACTTAAATGTGTTAAAGGAACATTAGATGCAGCTTATGCTTTAAGCTTTTAAATAAAATGTAATACTTTTTAAGTAACATACTACAGCTATCTATAAAGTTTTTTAAAAGATAATAAGTAACTAACACACTAGATAACTTTTCTAAGCTAATTATATAGCTAACTTATAAAAGCTAGATAATAACAAAAAGTAAGTAATTATTTAGTACATACTTAAGCTAAATGTGTAAGGATTTCCCCTCTAGCTAGCAGCTGTAGCTAATATAGCTAATTCTTTACATATTAAGCGTAATATAGGCCATGTTAGTATAAACTAGCTTAATATATTTATTAAGTGTTACTTAAAGCTTAAAGTAAAGTTTAAGTGTAAGTATAACTATAAAAAAGCTTTTTATAAAATTTTTATAGTAATTTAAAGCTAGTTTAACTTTATAAAGAATATTAAAGCTAAGTATAGCATCTAAAATAATAACATGTACAACTTTAACAAAATAAAGTTTAAAATACTACAACAGTTTATAAATAATCTGTAAAAGCAAAGCTTGCTTAGAGAAATAGTTAGTACATTAAGGTAGGTTATTTAGGTTAAAGAATAGTTATAGCATAATGCTTAGCAAATTAGTATTAGATAGGTAATAGACACATAATAATAATATTTAACTATAGCATGTAACTAATTACAGCCTGTAACTAAGCGTAGCTAATACTAATCTCTAACACACTAATATAGCTAAAAAAAAAGTAGAATAAACATAACTAACTATAATTTAAATATGTTTTATATAACATATACTAGAGTAAACTACATGTAAATTAATATAAAAATATAGGTATATTAAGTATACATTATTTTAAAAAAGAATACAAGAAATATATAAAGTAATAATAAATAGTGTTACTAAAGTTTATTTAAAAAAATTATTACTAACTAGTGTGTTTTAAAAAAAAGATTTTACTTAACTTTATATTTTATAAACTTAAATATATTAAGTATAGTAGGTGTTACTAATAACTTACTTTATTTTTAGTAATACTATAAAGATAGTAAAATTATTTCTTTTTATATTTTTTTTACTTATTACACTTTTTATAGCTATATAATATAGGTTATTTTACATTTTTAAAAAAGTATATAGGCGCTAAGCTAAAAACCTTATACATAACTAAATTACTTATTATAATAGCTAGCTAATTTTTAGCTTTAATTAAGTTAGTAAAATTTATTTTTTAAAAACTAAAGGTTTATATAAATTTAAGATTAGTTATCTAGAAATTAGTTAATTATTAGCTATAATTAAAAGAATATGTTTTAGCTTTAGCTTTTAACGCGTTTCTACTCTTATAATTATAACTAGGTTAGCATAGTTAACTACGTAGCCTTCTCTTGCTTATAGAGGTTTAGGCTAGGCTAGAGATAACTGCTAGTGCTAGTGCTTAC